TGTAAATGTAAATCTATTCCATGTAAAGATAAACGATGTGCATGTTTTAAAAGAAGTAAAAAATGTAATAATATGTGTGTTCACGGTACAAATGAATGTAAAAATAATTAAATGATTAATCTTAATGTTTTGTTATATTATTAAAACATATTGAAATCTAAATTCTTCAAAAGATCTCATTTTCCACTGACCTACACAAAACTTTTGTGGAATTATGGTAAGGAGATAAGAGAAATATTTCTGCGGGAACATTGCATCCATTCATCTTTATTAAAACTTTTTCTTCTATGTTTAAGAATTTTGATGATAGTTATTTTCCTTGAGCCTTAAAACTCAGAGGAAAGGGGGTAAAAAACAAGCCTTAGGTAGTAAAAACAAAACTTATCTTAGTAGAACAATAACAGGTTGGTAGAGAATAATAACAGGTTGGGGTATACAACAATAACAGATCGCACTCTTTTCACTCCTCTCTAATCCTGTCTACACTTGTAATTTACAGGTAGGACAATGGTGGAACTGTTCTTTCTTGTAGTTTTCTTCAAGACTTTGACGTTTTTTCTCTAGAAGAAGCTCTTGTATAATGTTTCTAGGAGTATCAAGAAACTCTTTCTCCAATATTACATTTGAGAAATTTGTGATTATGAAGTCCCGTGAAGAATCCAGCAGTGGTACTAAATTATGAGCTACAGCTAACCTGTGTTTAGAAAAATATGGAATTTATATTGAATACTGTACGTCAAAAATGGTAAAGTTTACAAAATTAGAATATTTTTTAATAATTTACTTAATAATTTACTTACATACCTGTATAATCTTAAAACATTGGATGACTGAAGTTCACTTGTGAGAAAGGCCGCGCAAACACATACAGCATGGTGAACTTTCAGAATGTTTGCAGCAACTATTAACTCTTGAGCATTTTCCGTTGTTATCTCAATGTTTCCTAAAGATTTAAAATAAATTTTTCATAATAATTCATAAAATAAAAATACCGTTTTACATATAGCAATATGAAAAACATGTGTTTTTTACATATATGACAAACATGTGTTTTTCCTTTTATCTTACCAGTATACATGAATCGAATGATCCGAATTAATATATTGGATTTCATAAACTTCATTTCTATTGAAAAAGACTGTGTTGTTTCCTCAGCTAATCCACCAGTAAACATATCCTTAAAATATTCACTTCCCGCCGAGAGTATTACACGATGAGCCTGGAATAAAATGTTTGTTGTATACAGTATATAAAAATCTTCTTCACTTTTTTATTCATTTCAGACAAAGCTAGTTAAAACAACTTAATATACTAGCAAATTTTCTTACCTTCACAATTGATCCATCAGCTGATGATATTTCTACATCACAGAACTGTTGTTTCTGCCAGAGTGAATGTAAGTTCTCTAGCAAGTCATTCGGATAAGAGAGCTCCACCTCTAGGAAGTCGTTCGGATAAGAGAGCTCCACACATGCCGCCATTTCATATAAAAGACCTAATATACCTGTGATTACTCGGTACCCCAATTATAACGTTTTCTCAATATATATACTACATCTCAGTTAAAAATTACCAGATATCACTACCCACCACCAGACAACTCAACTCTGGATGAATAGTATTACATTTGTTTTATATGAGGATGGCGACAGCACGTGTGGAATTCTCTGATAATGGGGAGGGGGAATGTAAATCTAACCTGCTAGAAAACTTACATTCACTCTGGCAGTTACAAAAGTTTTGTGATGTAGAAATATCATCAGCTGATGGATCAATTGTGAAGGTGAGAAAACATTATTTTTTAACTGAAATAACTGTAAAAACTGTCGTCGTCTTTCCTGTTTGTACTTAACACAACTATTTTTATTATTTCAGGCTCACCGTGTAATACTTTCGGCGGGAAGTAATTATTTTAAGACAATGTTTACCTGTGGATTAAGTGAGGAAACAACACAGTCTTCTTCAATAGAAATGAAGTCTATGAAATTTAATATATTAAAACAGCTCATCGGATTTATATATACTGGTAAGGATAAAGAAAAACTTTTTAAAAGTTAATAGAAAGTGAGTACTAATGTAAAACTAAAAACGATATTTTTTATTTTGTTGATGGATTGTTTTTTTTAAATCTTTAGAAAACATCGAGGTAACAGTGGAAAATGTTCAAGAGTTAATTGTAGCTGCAAACATACTTGAAATTCACCATGCTGTACGTGTTTGTACAGACTTTCTTAAGAGTGAACTTCATCCATCCAATGCTTTAGGAATTTACAGGTACGGTTTGATGATTCAGTTCAGTTGATTATGTTACCTATATGTACGTACAATAAATAAATCTATTAGGAATAAATCCATTGTTTTTGTTTTTTAAACAGGTTTGCTGAGGTCCATTATTTAGTAAACCTGCTGTCTGCTTCGCAGGACTTCATCTTTTCTAATTTCGTAGAAATTACAATGGAACAAGAGTTTCTTGAAATTCCTAAAGAAATTCTACTGTATTTTTTGGAGTCAGAGTATCTTCATATTGACTCTGAGTTGCAGGTAAATATTTATATACGCTATTTTTTTATTTAATAGTAGACCCCCAAACAATCAAATTTATCTACCTTTTCTTTCTTTATTGTATTACAGGTATTCTCTGCTGCCATCAGATGGATTACACAAGATATAACTAATAGACATTGTTGGATTTATGACATTTTGAAACCAGTGAAATTGGCTTTAATTCCAAGTAAACTAATAAAAAAATCAATTAATGAGTGCTCTAATATCAATCTGAAGGTTATTCTTAAACAGCAGAGGACGACATTTTTAAGGGACGAAAGGGAAGCCTCGTATATCCAGCCAAGAATTTGTCTTCGAAAGAAAATTTATGTTATAGGTGGATGGAAACTATCAGAGGAGTATAGTTTAAAAAGTGTCGAATGTTTTGATACCTTTAGGCAGAAATGGCAGAAAGTTGGCCCTATGAAAATTGAGAGATGTGGGCCAGGAGTAGCAGTCTTACATGGGAAAATATTCGTTGTTGGAGGGATTGGAGGGGATAGTCAGATTTGGGCAGATGGCGAAGTTTATGATCCACAGGAAGAAGATTGGACTGGGATATCTTCTATGGTTACCCCACGGTGTGATTTTGGATTATGCGCTCATGGAGGTTATCTCTATGCCTTCGGTGGTTGGACGGGATCGGTCATCGAAAAAAGTATTGAAAGATATGACCCTATTGCAGATGAGTGGACATTATTAGAGTCAAATATGCTAGAACCTATATCCTGGTAAGTACAATAACCATTTTCAAAGTGAAATTACTGACTGATAGTGTGTGTGTAAACTACTGATAATAATAAGAGAAGAGAAAATGTAGTATTGACCTGTACTTGTCTTTTTTTCTTCTCCCTCTTTTTTTTTTACAGTATGGGTATAGTAGAACATCGAGGTCTTATTTACATTGTTGGTGGAGTTGGTGCGGGATATTATTTCACCCGCCTGTGTAATCTTCTCTCATACAATCCTGTGACTGGGCATTGGAAGAATCTAGCACCAATGATAGCACTACATAAGAAGATAGGTGTTGCAGTTTTGGATAACTTTTTATATGTAGTAGGTGGTGGTATTCGGAACAATTATGAAAAAAAATCAATGCAAAGATATTCTTTTGAACAGGTAAGATTATTTACCAGTGCAAAACTTATAAATTCTTATTTTTATATACATTTACCAGCGCTGTTCTTATGAATTCTTCTTATTATATACAACAAGATTTGAATTACAATATTGTAGCTAGGAAGTGGAAGAATTTTTGTAATACTGTAGTGAAAATGGAGGGAGTAAAAAATTGTATAACTTCCCTACTCTCCCTTCCTTTTACTTTTCTTCTTTCTTTTACTTTCCCACAGAACAAATGGTTCAAGTGTTCATCGAAGTATTTGGGTCGAAGTATCTCAACAGTTGTTGCCACAAGTTCTCTGTTATATGTCATAGGCGGCTGTAGAGGGGTAAGGAAGAACGAACGAAAACAGAATGATTAATGAATATGTGATATACAAATCCAAAGTTATCCAAAGTTTTAACTTTTTTTTTTTTAGGTACCTATCACTAATGTGGAGTATTTCGACCCAAAGAAGAACAAGTGGATGAACTGTGCATCACTCCCAGAGGGTCGGTCTAATGCTAGAGCAGTCGTAATTTGACTCGACTTTCTTTCTCTTCTCTTCTTGATACTTCCCCAAGCTCAAGAAGCTCAAGAATATCTAACAGAGAAATTTAAGAGTCCTCTTCTTCTTCTTCATCCTTTTCAACAAATACACACTAAAAATAAAAATAAAAACTGAAATTAATGTATAGTTTTTACTTATCCATCCCAAGCTGCTGTACATTAGTTTTCCTACTGTTTGAAGGCGAGGACGGAAGCACCACCACCACCACCACAACCATAACAATTTACCTCCCCCTCTGTTAAAAAGTACCAGATATCAACACTATCAACACTACCACTATTTATAAAAGAACACTGATGATGATTAGTATTAACATTAGTATTTGAGAATGGCGGCGGCACATGTGGAGCTCTCTCATAACGAGGAGGAGGAGGAGGAATGTAAATCTTATCCGAACTACCTGCTAGACTGCATACATTTCCTCTGGCAGTCACAACAGTTATGTGATGTAGAAATATTATCAGCTGATGGATCAGTTGTGAAGGTGAGTGAGTAAGAAATTACATAAAATCACACTTAAAAGTATGTCCTCGATCAATCTATGTACCTTCCTCCACTACTTTAAAAAATCTGATGGGGATTACATTTTATTCCACAGGCTCACCGTGTAATACTGTCAGCGGGAAGCGACTATTTTAAGACCATGTTTACGTGTGGATTTGCTGAGAAAACAACACAATCAATAGAAATGAAGTCTATGAAACCCAATATATTAAAACTGCTTGTCGACTTCATATATACTGGTAAGGGAAAATATTTTAAGTTTTCATAGTGCTATGCTGCTATCTATAAGTAAAATTTTTATTTTGTTGCAAATGAAGAAATGAAATATTTTTTTTCTTTTTTTGTAAAAATACTTTAGGAAACATCGAGATAACAGTGGAAAACACACAGGAGTTAATTGTAGCTGCGAACATGCTGTTCATGCCCCGTGCTGTACTTGTTTGTACAGACTTTCTCAAGAGCGAACTTGATCCATCCAATGCTTTGGGAATTTACAGGTAACAAATTTTTATTTTGTAAATTTTTTTATTTTATTCTGTTCTGTTTTAATTTGATTGATTCTGATTCGATCTAATCCTATTCTAGAGAGGATGTGTTTTTTTTTTTGTTTTTTTTTTTACAGGTTTGCTCAGGCCCATTATTTAGTAAGCTTGTTGAATGGTTCGCGGGACTTCATCTTCTCCAATTTCGTAGAAGTGACAATGGAGCAAGAGTTTCTTGAGATTCCTAAAGAAACTCTACTATATTTTTTGAATTCGGAGTATCTTCATATTGACTCTGAGTTTCAGGTAAATATTAGATATTTTTCTTTTTATTTAATATTTATTTATTGAAAATTTTATTTATTTTTTCTTTTTTTATTGCAACTCTCACTTTCTTTTTCTTTTCTTTTGTTATATTGCAGGTATTCTCTGCTGCCATCAGATGGATTACACAAGAAATAACTGATAGACTTTGTTGGATTCTCGATATTTTAAAACGAGTGAAATTGTCTTTAATTTCAAGTAAACTAATAGTAAAATCAATTAATGAGTGCTCTGATATCAGATTGAAGGTTAGCCTTAAACAGCAGACAAACTTGGCCAAAAGGGAAGCCTTGTATGTCCAGCCAAGAATTTGTACTCGAAAGAAAATTTATGTCATAGGTGGATCAAGGAAAGAACACATAAGGAGATCAAGATCAAATAAGTATATATTTAAAAAAAGTGTCGAATGTTTTGATATCTTTAGGCAGATATGGCAGAAAGTTTACCCCATGAAAATTGGGAGAAGTTCACCAGGAATAGCAGTCTTACATGGAAAGATTTTCGTTGTTGGAGGGGTTGGAGAGGAGAGTCAGATTTTGGTGGATGGCGAAGTTTATGATCCACAGGAAGATTATTGGACTGGAATATCTTCTATGATAATCCCACTGTGTCATTTTGGATTATGCGCTCATGAAGGTTATCTCTATGCCTTCGGTGGTTGGACTGGATCAATGGAAATGGGAAAAAATATTGAAAGATATGACCCTATTACAGATGAGTGGAGATTATTAGAGTCAAATATGCCAGAAGCTAGATCCAAGTAAGTACAATAACCATTTGGATTTACTGATAGTGTGAATTACTAATAATAATAATGAGAAAATATCGCAATGACCTGTACTGTTTTTTTCCTTTTTATTTTCTTTTTACAGCATGGGTATAGTAGAACATCGAGGTCTTATTTACATTATTGGTGGATATACGGACACTTACAATCCCCTGCATGATTTTCTCTCATACAATCCTGTAACTGGAGAGTGGAAGAATCTAACACCAATGCAAGGTCCACCGTCTAAGACGATAGGCGTTGCAGTTTTAGATAACTTTTTGTACGTAGTAGGTGATGGTATTCTGGATGAAAATTCAATGAAAAGATATTCTTTTGAGCAGGTAAGATTATTTACCAGTACTTAAAGTTTAATATTGTAACCAGGAAGTGGAAGAATTTTTGTAATACTTTAGGAAAAAAGGGAAAAACTTGTATACCCCCCTCCCGCCCCCTCACTCTTCTTTTAAACCTTTTTTCTTTTACTTTCCCACAGAACCAATGGTTTAAGTGTTCGTGTTCATCGTGTTCAGCGTATTTGGGTCGAAGTAACCTAGCAGTTGTTGCCACAAATTCTCTGTTATATGTCATAGGCGGTAACAATATAAATTACGATGGACTATTGGTAAGGAAGAATGAAAAGAATGCTTAATGAAAACTGATAATATTTATTAATAATCTTTATAATCCAAAGTTTTAACCTCAAACTAATTTTTTTTTTTTTTTTAGATATCTGTCGCTAATGTGGAGTATTTCGACCCTAAGAATAATAGGTGGATAAACTGTACATCACTCCCTGAGGGTCGGTCTGATGCTAGAGCAGTTTCAATTTAACTCACTCGAAACCTTAACCTTCAAGCCCTCTCTCATATCATTCCCATATATATTACATTTATTAGTTTTTTAGTTATATATGAGGATGGCGGCGGCACGTGTGGAGCTCTCTGATAACGGAGAGGAGGAGTGTAATTATCCTTATCCAAACAACCTGCTAGAGAACCTAAATTCACTCTGGCAGTTACAAAAGTTCTGTGATGTAGAAATATCAGTTGATGGATCAGTTGTGAAGGTGAGAAAACATTATTTTAACTTTTTTATTATTTATTGTCAATAATTGAAAAAACTATCTTGTATATGTATACAACCAACCAAATTCTTTTATTATTATTCCAGGCTCACCGTGTAATACTCTCGGCGGGAAGTAATTATTTTAAGGCCATGTTTACCTGTGGATTAACTGAAACAACACATTCTTCAATAGAAATTTAATCTATGAAATTTAATATATTAAAGCAGATCATCGGATTCATATATACTGGTAAGTAACATTTTAAGTTTTCATATTTATAAAAAAAAACTGTATTTTTATTTTGTTATTTATATCTTAATCTTTAGGAAACATCGAGGTAACAGCTGAAAACGTTCAAGAGTTAATAGTTGTTGCAAACATGCTGATAGTTCCCCATGTTGTACGTATTTGCACAGACTTTCTCAAGAGTGAACTTCATCCATCCAATGCTTTAGGAATTTACAGGTAACTAATTTTTATTTTGTAATTTTTTTTTATTCTTGTTCGGTTTTGTTTTAATTTGATTAATTCTGATTCGATCTGATTCGATTCTAAAAAGGGTGTGTTCATTTTTTTTTTTTTAAAGGTTTGCTGAGGCCTGGGTGTGTTCATTTTTTTTTTTACAGGTTTGCTGAGGCCTATTATTTAGTAAGCTTGTTGAATGGTTCGCTGGACTTCATCTTCTCCAATTTCGTAGAAGTGACAATGGAGCAAGAGTTTTTTGAGATTCCTAAAGACACTCTACTATATTTTTTGGATTCGGAGTATCTTCATATTGACTCTGAGTTTCAGGTAAATATTAGATATTTTTCTTTTTATTTAATATTTATTTATTAAATCAAAAATCTAATTTTTTTTGTGGTTTATTGCAGCTAGCTCACTTTCTTTTTCTTTTGTTATATTGCAGGTATTCTCTGCTGCCATCAGATGGATTACACAAGAAATAACTGATAGACTTTGTTGGATTCTTGATATTTTAAAACGAGTGAAATTATCTTTAATTTCAAGTAAACTAATAGAAAAATCAATTAATGAGTGTTCTGACATCAGATTGAAAGTTAACCTTAAACAGCAGATAAACTTGGCTAAAGAGGAAACCTCCTTTTATGTCCAGCCAAGAATTTGTACTCGAAAGAAAATTTATGTCATAGGTGGATCAAGGACCGAATGGAATAGAGTATCGGAGAAGTTTAAAAGTGTAGAATGTTTTGATACCTTTAGGAAGGAATGGCAGAAAGTTTGCCCGATGAAAAAAATCAGTGAAAGGCCAGAAATAGCAGTCTTACATGGGAAAATTTTCGTTGTTGGAGGGAGGGGTTGGAGAGATACGAGAGATAGACGCAGACGTTTTCCGGTTTTGGCGGATGGCGAAGTTTATAATCCACAGGAAGATAATTGGACTGGGATATCTTCTATGGTTACCCCACGATGTGAGTTTGGATTATGCGCTCATGGAGGTTACCTTTATGCCTTCGGTGGTTGGACGGGATCGGTAGTCGAAAAAAGTATTGAAAGATATGACCCTATTACAGATGAGTGGAGATTATTAGAGTCAAATATGCCAGAAGCTAGAAAAAAGTAAGTACAATTGTAATGTTAAAAATCAACCATTTTCAAATTAGGTTTACTTACTGATAGATAGTAACTGATAATGAGAAATGTAGCAGTGGCCTGTACTGTTTTTCTTTTCTTTTTTTTTTTTTTTTTTTACAGAATGGGTGTAGTAGAACATCGAGGTATCATTTACATTATGGGTGGATATACGTACACTTACAATCGCCTGCGTGATCTTCGCCTGCGTGATCTTCTCTCATACAATCCTGTAACTGGGGAGTGGAAGAATCTAGCACCAATACTAGGTGAATCATATAACACGATATCTGTTGCAGTTTTGAATAACTTTCTGTACGTAGTAGGTGGTACTGAGTTTGAGGAAATGGAAAGATATTCTTTTGAACAGGTAAGATTATTTACCGTGGAGTGCTTATGAATTACTATTTTATTGTAGCCAGGATGTGAAGAATATTTGTAATACTGTTGGTAAATAATTGTATAACCTCCCTCCCTTCCTTTTACCTTTTTTTCTTTTACTTCCCCACAGAACAAATGGTTTAAGTGTTCATCAATGTATTCCGGTCTAAATTCCCCAGCAATTGTTGCTACAAATTCTCTGTTATATTTCATAGGCGGTGACATTAGAAATGATGATGACACGGTAAGGAAGACTGAAAAGAATGATTAATGAAAACTGATAATATTTATTAATAATCTTTATAATCCAAAGTTTTAACCTAAACTATTTTTTTTTCTTTTTTTTTAGCTACTTGCCACTGATGTGAATGTGGAGTATTTCGACCCTAAGAATAATAGGTGGATAAACTGTACATCACTTCCTGAGGGTCGGATTAATGTTAGAGCAGCTTCAATTTGACAATCTTATCTGAACTACCTGCTAATGTAGAAATATCATCAGCTGAGGGATCAGTTGCGAAGCCATTTAAAATAAAAAAAACTTGCTTTCTACCTTTTTAACTTACCTAATCCTTATAATTGTTTAATTTCACATTTACTGAATAAAGAGCTGACCAAAGCTGTCTAACCGGCGGCCAAGTTTAGTGAGTGTGTAGCTTAAAAAAAAAGTCTGCCGAAAGGCATCCAAAACATTAATTCAAAAGTTTTCTTTGAGGTGCTGCTGTGACGTAACTGGTGATAGCGAAGGTTGCTTATATTAATTACCCCACCACATACGTTACAGCAAAACTTTGCTTCCTGTGTATGTGTCTTATGAATTCTTATTATTATATACTATAGTGAAAAGGAAGTAAAAAATTGTCATATGGAGGGAGTATTTTGATCCTAAGGATAATAAGTGGAGAAACTGTACACCCCTGAAGAACGGTCTGATGCTAGAGTAAAGAAGTGTATGTTTTTTTTTTTTTTATATGTACCGGGAACTGATATCTCTTCTCTCCCAAGCTCAAGCTCAAGAATATTCAACAAGAAACTTTCAAAGCCCTCTTTATCCTCCTCTCATCCTCTTCAGCATACACACACACACACTTAAAATAAAAAAATAAATGTATTACCTATCCCAACATACTGAAAGAAAGAGGCTGCTGGCTGTAGTTTAGTTTTGTTACTGTTTGAAGAAGCAACGGAAGCACCACCACCACCACCACCACCACCACCACCACCACCACTACGGGTATTACCAGATATCACCACACCACTAAAAATAAAACTGACAACTAGTTAGTATTACATTAGTATCTGAAGATGGCGGCTGCACGTGTGGAGCTCTCTCATAACGAGGAGGAGAAGGAGGAGGAAGAGGAATGTAAATCTTATCCAAACTACCTGCTAGACTACATACATTTCCTCTGGCAGTCACAAGAGTTATGTGATGTAGAAATATTATTAGCTGATGGATCAGTTGTGAAGGTGAGTAAGTGAAACATTTATCTGTAAGTGAAGAAACATTTACCTCCTACCTACATATCTTTCTCTGCCTGCCCTCCATTACCACTCACCATTTACACACATATAGGGGGAGGGAAACTTAACTACACTGCCCATACTCACCGTCCGTTTAGGAGAAGTCAGTGGAACATGGTTAACAAAGTATATCCAGTACAGTAGAAGAAATTTCCCTGTTCCCCCAACTTCCCTTCTTCTCCGACACAAATAAACTGTTCCCCCAACTTCCCTTCTTCTCCGACACAAATAAAGAGTTGCTTATCCAACTTTTTTCGCACGAGAGAATCAATGTTTCCAAGAAGTGATTTTATTTTGGCGGCTTGCTTCCTAGCAGTGGTTTGATTTGGGCGGCTTGCTTCCTAGCAGTGGTTTAATTTTGTTGTCTGTCCGTCTATAATTCTCTCACTTTTATGTAATCTGATAGGATTACATTTTATTCCACAGGCTCACCGTGTAATACTGTCAGCGGGAAGCGAATATTTTAAGACAATGTTTACGTGTGAATTTGCTGAGAAAACAAAACAGTCAATAGAAATGAAGTTTATGAAACCCAATATATTACAACTGCTCGTCGACTTCATATATACTGGTAAGGGAAAATATTTTAAGTTTTCATAGTGCTATACTGCTATCTATATGTAAAATTTTTATTTTGTTGCAAATTAATAAATGAATTTTTTTTTTCTTTTTTTGTCAAAAACTTTAGGAAACATCGAGATAACAGTGGAAAATGCACGGGAGTTAATTGCGGCTGCGAACATGTTGATGATATCACGTGCTGTACTTGTTTGTATAGACTTTCTCAAGAGCGAACTTCATCCATCTAATGCTTTGGGAATTTACCGGTACGTGCAGTATAATAATAATAGTTAATTATTTTCCAACTGTTTATATAATATGTATTTTTATCTGTCCTATACGTAATTTTTTTTTTTTTTTTTTAAAACAGGTTTGCTGAGGCCCATAATTTAGTAAGGTTGCTGCATTCTTCCCGGGACTTCATCTTCTCCAATTTCGTAGAAGTGACAATGGAGCAAGAATTTCTTGAGATTCCGAAAGAAATTCTGCTGTATTTTTTGGATTTAGAGTATCTTCATATTGACTCTGAGTTTCAGGTAAATATTAGATATTTTTCTTTTTATTTAATATTTATTTATCAATTTCAAAAATCTTTTTTTTTTTGAGGGGGGGTATTGCAGCTCACTTTCTTTTTCTTTTGTTATATTGCAGGTATTCTCTGCTGCCATCAGTTGGATTACACAGGAAATAACTGATAGACTTTGTTGGATTCTTGACATTTTAAAACGAGTGAAATTATCTTTAATTTCAAGTAAACTAATAGAAAAATCAATTGATGAGTGCTCTGACATCAGATTGAAAGTTAACCTTAAACAGCAGATAAACTTGGCTAAAGAGGAAGCCTCCTTTTATGTCCAGCCAAGAATTTGTACTAGAAAGAAAATTTATGTCATAGGTGGATCAAAGAACGAACTCATTAGATTATGGAATAGATCAGAGGAATATATGTTTAAAAGTGTCGAATGTTTTGATACCTTTAGGAAGGAATGGCAGAAAGTTTGCCCCATGAAAAATATAAGAATTTGGCCAGAAATAGCAGTCTTACATGGACAAATTTTCGTTGTTGGAGGGGTTGGAGAGGAGATACCCTCTCCGATTTTGGCGGTTGGCGAAGTTTATAATCCACAGGAAGATAATTGGACTGGGATATCTTCTATGGTTACCCCACGATGTGATTTTGGATTATGCGCTCATGGAGGTTACCTTTATGCCTTCGGTGGTTGGACGGGATCGGTCGTCGAAAAAAGTATTGAAAGATATGACCCTATTACAGATGAGTGGAGATTATTAGAGTCAAATATGCCAGAAGCTAGAAAAAAGTAAGTTAAAAATCAACCATTTTCAAATTAGATTTACTGACTGATAGTAACTGATAATGAGAAAATGTAGCAGTAGCCTGTACTGTCTTTTTTTTCTTTTTCTCCTTTTCTTTTCTTTTACAGGATGGGTATAGTAGAACATCAAGGTCTTATTTACATTATTGGTGGATATACGTACACTTACAATCCCCTGCGTGATCTTCTCTCATACAATCCTGTGACTGGGGAATGGAAGAATCTAGCACCAATGCTAGGTCCACCATCTAAGACGATAGGCGTTGCAGTTTTAGATAACTTTTTGTACGTAGTAGGTGATAATAATGGGAAAAAATCAATGGAAAGATATTCTTTTGAACAGGTAAGATTATGAGATTATATACAATAAGGTTTGAATTTTAATATTGTAGCCAGGATGTGGAACAATTTATAATACTTAGTGAAAAGGGATAAAAATTTTATGACCTCCCTCCCTTCCTTTTACCTTTTTTCTTTTACTTTCTCACAGAACAAATGGTTTAAGTGTTCATCAATGTATTTCGGTCATAGCCCAGCAGTTGTTGCTACAAATTCTCTGTTATATGTCATAGGCGGTGACTACAGTAGAAATTATAATAGCCTGGTAAGGAAGAATGAAAAGAATGCTTAATGAAAAATGATAATATTTATTAATAATCTTTATAATCCAAAGTTTTAACCTCAAGCTATTTTTTTTCTTTTTAGATATCTGTCGCTAATGTGGAGTATTTCGACCCTAAGAATAATAGGTGGATAAACTGTACATCACTCCCTGAGGGTCGGTCTGATGCTAGAGCAGTTTCAATTTGACAATCTTATCTGAACTACCTGCTGATGTAGAAATATTATCAGCTGATGGATCAGTTGTGAAGGTGAGCGAGAAATATATTTACTGCATACAATCACATCAGCTGCCTCACTTATGGGAAGACTGCCACAACCATCCCAGAGACAAATAAAAAAAAATCTGATGTGCCCTTACACTTCCTCACTCTCCCTTACACCCCCTCACTCTCCCCTCCTCCTAGTCACAGCCCGGCCGGCATTTGATATTATTAACATAAAATGAACCGGAAACTTGATATCTCTTCTCTCCCAAACTCAAGATCAAGAATATCCAACGAGAAACTTTAAAGTCTCTTCATCCTCCTCTCATCTTTCTTCAACACACAACACACACACTTAAAAAAAAAAAAAAAATACTTCCGTTGCTGGCTGTAGTTTATAGTTTTGTTACTGTTTGAAGAAGCAACGGAAGAATCACCACCACAACCACCACCACCACCACCACCACCACCACCACCATCGGTATTACCAGATATCACACCACCACTAAAAACAAAACTGACAACTGGTTAGTATTACATTAGTATCTGAAGATGGCGGCTGCACGTGTGGAGATCTCTCATTACGAGGAGGAGGAGAAAGAGGAGGAGGAGGAATATAAATCTTATCCTAACTACCTGCTAGACTGCATACATTTCCTCTGGCAGTTACAACAGTTATGTGATGTAGAAATATTATTAGCTGATGGATCAATTATGAAGGTGAGTGATATATTTACCTGTGAGTAAAGAAACATTTACCTCCAATCTACACATCTTTCTCTACCCTCCATTACCCAAATCTTTAAAAACAAAAACTGATGGATTACATTTTATTCCACAGGCTCACCGTGGAATACTGTCAGCAGGAAGCGACTATTTTAAGACCATGTTTACGTGTGGATTTGCTGAGAAAACAACAGAGTCAATAGAAATGAAGTCTATGAAACCCAATATATTACAACTGCTCGTCAACTTCATATATACTGGTAAGGGGAAACATTTTAAGTTTTCATAATGCTGCTATACTTATATTTAAATTAAAACGAAATACATTATGAATAAAAAACTTTTTTTTTAATACTTTAGGAAACATGAAGATAACAGTGGAAAATGCACAGGAGTTAATTGCGGCTGCGAACATGCTGATGATGTCCCGTGCTGTATGTTTTTGTACAGATTTTCTTAAGAGTGAACTTCATCCATCTAATGCTTTGGGAATTTACCGGTATGTGCAGTATAATAATTAATTATTTTCAAACTATTTATATAACACGACGTAACTAATTCCATATTGTTTTTTTTTAAACAGGTTTGCTAAGGCCCATTATTTAGTAAGGTTGCTGCATTCTTCGCGGGATTTCATCTTTTCCAATTTCGTAGAAGTGACAATGGAGGAAGAATTTCTTGAGATTCCGAAAGAAATTCTACTGTATTTTCTTGAGTCAGAGTATCTTCATATTGACTCTGAGTTTCAGGTAAAATAATTTTTTTTATTTAATATTACAAACTTTCAACTGACTTTATTTACAAAAGTTTTAACCAAAAACTATCAAAATTAACTTTCTCTATTATTAATTGCAGGTATTCTCTGCTGCTATTAGATGGATTACACGAAGAACTAATAGATATGGTTGTTGGTATTTTGACATTTTAAAACGAATGAAATTATCTTTAATTTCAAGTAAACTAATAGAAAAATTAATTAATGAGTGCTCCTCTGATATTAGATTTAAGGTTAACCTTAAACAGCAGACAAACTTGGCGGCCAAAAGGGCAGCCTTATATGTCCAGCCAAGAATTTGTACTCGAAAGAAAATTTATGTCATAGGTGGATCAAAGAAAGAAAACTATTACCAAAATAAATTTAAAAAAAGTGTCGAATGTTTTGATATCTTTAGGCAGATATGGCAGAAAGTTTGCCCCATGAAAATTGTGAGAAATTCACCAGGAATAGCAGTCTTACATAGAAAAATTTTCGTTGTTGGAGGAATTGGAAAGGAGAGTCAGATTTTGACGGATGGCGAAGTTTATAATCCACAGGAAGATTATTGGACTGGAATATCTTCTATGGTGATCCCACGGTGTAATTTTGGATTATGCGCTCATGGAGGTTATCTCTATGCCTTCGGTGGTTGGATGGGATCGGTTATGGAAAAAAGTATTGAAAGATATGACCCTATTACAGATGAGTGGAGATTATTAGAGTCAAATATGCCAGAAGGTAGATCCAAGTAAGTACAATAACAATTTTCAAATTGGATTTACTGACTAATAGTGTGAACACTGATAATAATGAGAAAATATAACAGTGCCTGTACTTTTTTTCTTTTTACAGCATGGGTATAGTAGAACATCAAGGTCTTATTTACATTGTTAGTGGATATATGGACTTTTACAACCCCATGCATGATCTTCTCTCATACAATCCTGTAACTGGGGAGTGGAGAGCACTAGCAGGACGTGCTCCACCTCGCTACAACTACATGGGTGTTGCAGTTTTGAATAACTTTTTGTATTTAGTGGGTGGCCTTCTTTTTAATGAAGAAGCGGAAAAATCACTAGAAAGATATTCTTTTGAACAGGTAATATGCATGCTTATTATTATATACAATACAATTTGAATTACAGTAGTGAAAAGGGAGTAAAAATTGTATAATTCCCTTCTTTTCTCTATCCCAAGACAATAATAATGATTTAAGTATATTGAAGAAGAATTTGTGTAATACTATAGTGTAGTGAGGAGTAAAAATTTTATAACCTCCCCTCCCTTCTTTTCCTTCCACAGAACAAATGGTTTAAGTGTTCATCAATGAATTTTGATCGAAGTATCCCAGCAGTTGTTGCCACAAATTCTCTGTTATATGTCATAGGAGGTCACCGTCAAAATGACCTTAATAGATTGGTAAGAAAGGAAGAATGGCAATGGAAGAATGAAATGAATTAATTATATAGAATGAATTATATTACAATTTTAACCTCTAACTTTTTTTTTAGGTTACAATTTTAACCTCTAACTTTTTTTTTAGGTATCTGTCGCTAATGTGGAATATTTCGACCCTAAGAATAATAAGTGGATGAACTGTACATCACTCCCTGAGGGCCGGTCTTATGCTAGAGCAGTCTTAATTTGACTCCCTAAACCTTCCTCAAGACTGACATTATCTTCATATTTAATCCATTTAAAATAAAAAAAGTTTGCTTTCTATCTTTTAATTTAACTTACCTAATATGAAATTTGAAAGTATCCTTATAATTAATTAGTATCTGAAGCTGCATGTGTGAAGCTTTCTCATAACGAGGAGGAGGAATGTAAATCTTATCCTAACTACCTGACGATATACATTTCCTCTGGCAGTCAGAAAAGTTATGTGATGTAGAAATATTATTAGCTGATGGATCAGTTGTGAAGGTGAGTAAGTGAAACATTTAGGAGAAGTCAGTGGAACATTGGTTAACAAAGTCTATCCAGTACAGTGGAAGAAATAATATATTACTTTGTACGTAGTAGGTGTAGGTGGTGGTATTCCGATTCGGGGCCCAAAATCAATGGAAAAATATTCTTTTGAACAGGTAAGATTATTTACCAGTGCTTATAAATTCTTATTATTTTGAATTACAATTATAGCAGGACAGGATGTGGAAGAATTGTAAGTAATTATATAACCTCTTCTGTTTCAGAACAAATGGTTTAAGTGTTCATCAATTTTTTGTTGAAATAGCCCAGCAGTTGTTGCCACAAATTCTCTGTTATATGTCATAGGCGGTGACTGTAGAAAAAGTGACAGAGGTAAAGAAGAATAGAATGAAATGAATTAATGATTAGGCACTCAACTAACTTAACACACAAATATTACATATTATTAAATTACCCCAACATACTGAAAGAAAGAGGCTGCTGGCTGTAGTTTAGTTTTGTTACTGTTTGAAGAAGCAACGGAAGCACCACCACCACCACCACCACCACCACTACGGGTATTACAAGATATCACCACACAACTAAAAACAAAACTGACAACTGGTTAGTATTACATTAGTATCTGAAGATGGCGGCTGCACGTGTGGAGCTCTCTCATCACAAGGAGAAAGAGGAGGAGGAGGAAGAGGAGCAGGAGAAGGAGGAGGAAGAGGAATGTAAATCTTATCCGAACTACCTGCTAGACTACATACATTTCCTCTGGCAGTCACAAGAGTTATGTGATGTAGAAATATTATTAGCTGATGGATCAGTTGTGAAGGTGAGTAAGTGAAACATTTATCTGTAAGTGAAGAAACATTTACTCAATAAAGAGTTGCTTATCCAACTTTTTTCGCACGAGAGAATCAATGTTTCCAAGCAGTGATTTGATTTGGGCGGCTTGCTTCCTAGCAGTCGTTTGATTTGGGCGGCTTGCTTTCTAGCAGTGGTTTAATTTTGTTGTCTGTCCGTCTATAATTCTCTCACTTTTATGTAATCTGATGGGATTACATTTTATTCCACAGGCTCACCGTTTAATACTGTCAGCGGGAAGCGAATATTTTAAGACCATGTTTACGTGTGAATTTGCTGAGAAAACAACACAGTCAATAGAAATGAAGTTCATGAAACCCAATATATTACGACTGCTCGTCGACTTCATATATACTGGTAAGGGAAAATATTTTAAGTTTTCATAGTGCTATGCTGCTATCTATATGTAAAATTTTATTTTGTTGCAAATGAATAAATGAATTTTTTTTTTCTTTTTTTGTCAAAAACTTTAGGAAACATCGAGATAACAGTGGAAAATGCACAGGAGTTAATTGCGGCTGCGAACATGTTGATGATATCACGTGCTGTACTTGTTTGTATAGACTTTCTCAAGAGTGAACTTCATCCATCTAATGCTTTGGGAATTTACCGGTACGTGCAGTATAATAATAATAGTTAATTATTTTCCAACTGTTTATATAATATGTATTTTTATCTGTCCTATACGTAATTTTTTTCTTTTTTTTTTTAAAAACAGGTTTGCTGAGGCCCATAATTTAGTAAGGTTGCTGCATTCTTCCCGGGACTTCATCTTCTCCAATTTCGTAGAAGTAACAATGGAGCAAGAATTTCTTGAGATTCCGAAAGAAATTCTGCTGTATTTTTTGGATTCAGAGTATCTTCATATTGACTCTGAGTTTCAGGTAAAATGTAAATATTTTTTTTTTATTTAATATGTACAACTTTCAATTGACTTTTATTTACAAGATTATTAACCCGAATTTATCTTTCTATTATTTATTGCAGGTATTCTCTGCTGCTATCAGATGGATTACACAAGCACAAGATATAAATAATAGATATTGTTGTTGGAATTTTGACATTTTAAAACGACTGAAATTGCCTTTAATTTCAAGTAAACTAATAAAAAAAGCAATTAATGAGTGCTCCGCTGATATTAAATTGAAGGTTTACCTTAAAAAGCAGACAAACTTGGCTAAAAAGGAAGCAGCCTTTTCTGTCCAGCCAAGAATTTGTACTCGAAAGAAAATTTATCTCATAGGTGGATTCATGAAAGAACTCTGTGTCCATATATCAGATGGGTTTACATTTACAAGTGTCGAATGTTTTGATATCTTTAGGCAGAAATGGCAGAAAGTTTGCCCCATGAAAATTGTAAGAAATTTACCAGGAAGAGCAGTCTTACATGGGAAAATTTTCGTTGTTGGAGGGAGTGGAGAGGACAGTCAGATTTTGGCAGATGGCGAAGTTTATGATCCACAGGAAGATTATTGGACTGGAATATCTTCTATGGTGATCCCACGGTGTGATTTTGGATTATGCGCTCATGGAGGTTTTCTCTATGCCTTCGGTGGTTGGACGGGATCGGTCATCGAAAAAAGTATTGAAAGATATGACCCTATTGCAGATGAGTGGACATTATTAGAGTCAAATATGCCAGAAAGTAGATCCAAGTAAGTACAATAACAATTTTCAAATTGGATTTACTGACTGATAGTGTGAACTACTGATAATAATGAGAAAATGTAACAGTGCCTATACTTTTTTTTTTTTTTTTACAGAATGGGTATAGTAGAACATCAAGGTCTTATTTACATTGTTAGTGGACGTATGGACTCTTATAACCCATTTCATGAACTTCTCTCATACAATCCTGTAACTGGGGAGTGGAGAGATCTAGCAGCACTGAGTGCTCCACCTCGCTACAACTACATGGGTGTTGCAGTTTTGAATAACTTTTTGTATTTAGTGGGTGGTCTTTTTAATGAAGAAGGGGAAAAATCACTAGAAAGATATTCTTTTGAACAGGTAATGTGCATGCTTATAATTATATACAATACAATTTGAATTATAGTAGTGAAAAGGGAGTAAAAATTGTATAACTCCCTTCTTTTCTCTTTCCCAAGACAATAATCATAATTTAAGTAATATGGGAGAAGAATTTTTGTAATACTGTAGTGTTGTATAACCTCCCTTCTTTTCCTTTCCACAGAACGAATGGTTTAAGTGTTCATCAATGAATTTTTGGCGAAGTATCCCAGCAGTTGTTGCCACAAATTCTCTGTTATATATCATAGGTGGTCATCGTCCCAATGACCACCTTGAACTGGTAAGAAAGGAAGAATGGAAATGGAAGAATGAAATGAATAAATTATATTACAAATTTAACCACCTAACCACCTGTTTTTTTTTCTAAAGGTATCTGTCGCTAATGTGGAGTGTTTCGACCCTAAGACTAATAAGTGGATGAACTGTACATCACTCCCTGAGGGCCGGTCTTATGCTAGAGCAGTCTTACTTTAACTCCCTTCGACATCCTCAATCAAGAAAACTTCCCTCAAGACTGACATTTGTCTCCTCCACATTTAATCCATTTTAAATAAAAAAAAAGCTTGTTTCCTATCTTTTTTAACTTACCCTAACATGAAATTTGAAAGTATTCTTATAAAGTATCCTTGTGGATCAATGGTACCATTGTTTAATTTTGTCGAAATATCCCAGCAGTTGTTGCCTGCCACAAATCCTCTGTTATGTCATAGGCGGTTACGGTTATTATAACTTGGTAAGGAAGAATGGAAATAAGAATAAAATATATTAATAATTCCTAAATATTTTTATAATAATCCTTTATAATAAGTTTTAATCTAAAACCTGAGGATAAAAAGTGGAGAAACTGTACACCACTCCCTGAGGAACGGTCTAATGATGCTTTAGTAGTCTAATTTGACTGCTTTAAGAATTTACAGGTACGTACAGTATAATAATTAATATTATTTTCTTGTTTTGATGTTTTTTATTTGTATATGTACGTATACAATGCAGAATTTGAACTAAATCCCATTTTTTTTGGGGGGGGGAACAGGTTTGCTGAGGCCCATAATTTAGTATCGTTACTGCATTCTTCACGGGACTTCATCTTGACCAATTTCGTGGAAGTGACAAAGGAGCAGGGGGCTTGAAGAGAAACCTTCCTCAAGACTGACATTATCTTCATATTTAATCCATTTAAAATAAAAAAAGCTTGCTTTCTATCTTTTTAACTTACCTAATATGAAATTTGAAAGTAATAAAGAACTGACCAAAGCTGTCTAACCGGCCAAGATTAGTTAGGATAAGTGTGTAGCTTAAAAAAAAGGCATCCAAAACATTAATTCAAAAGTTTTCTTGGAGCTGCTGTGACACAACTGGTAATAGCTAAGGTTGCTTATCACATACGTTACAGCAAAACTTTGCTTCCTTGTCATGTGACTTATGCTTAATTATAGTGAAAAAGAAGTAAAAAATTGTCATATAGAGGGAGTATTTTGATCCTAAGGATAACAAATGAAGAAACTGTACACCCCTGAGGAACGGTCTGATGAGTAAAAAAGTGTATATTTTTTTGCTTTTTTTTATCCAGGTCTTCTTTAATAGGCCCCAGGGTTAATGGGGCCGGCCTCTAATCTTAATGGGCCCTTAGTCTTAATGGGCCCCAGTTTTAATGGGCACTCAACTAACTTAACACACAAATATTACATATTATTAAATTACCCCAACATACTGAAAGAAAGAGGCTGCTGGCTGTAGTTTAGTTTTGTTATTGTTTGAAGAAGCAACGGAAGCACCACCACCACCACCACCACCACGGGTATTACCAGATATCACCACACAACTAAAAACAAAACTGACAACTGGTTAGTATTACATTAGTATCTGAAGATGGCGGCTGCACATGTGGAGCTCTCTCATCACAAGGAGAAAGAGGAGGAGGAGGAAGAGGAGCAGGAGAAGGAGGAGGAAGAGGAATGTAAATCTTATCCGAACTACCTGCTAGACTACATACATTTTCTCTGGCAGTCACAAGAGTTATGTGATGTAGAAATATTATTAGCTGATGGATCAGTTGTGAAGGTGAGTAAGTGAAACATTTATCTGTAAGTGAAGAAACATTTACTCCTACCTACATATCTTTCTCTGCCTGCCCTCCATCACCCACCCACCATTTACACACATATAGGGGGAGGGAAACTTAACTACACTGCCCACACTCACCATCCGTTTAGGAGAAGTCAGTGGAACATGGTTAACAAAGTATATCCAGTACAGTAGAAGAAATTTCCCTGTTCCCCCAACTTCCCTTCTTCTCCGACACAAATAAAGAGTTACTTATCCAACTTCTTTCGCACGAGAGAATCAATGTTTCCAAGCAGTGATTTGATTTGGGCGGCTTGCTTCCTAGCAGTGGTTTGATTTGGGCGGCTTGCTTTCTAGCAGTGGTTTAATTTTGTTGTCTGTCCGTCTATAATTCTCTCACTTTTATGTAATCTGATGGGATTACATTTTATTCCACAGGCTCACCGTGTAATACTGTCAGCGGGAAGCGAATATTTTAAGACCATGTTTACGTGTGAATTTGCTGAGAAAACAACACAGTCAATAGAAATGAAGTTCATGAAACCCAATATATTACGACTGCTCGTCGACTTCATATATACTGGTAAGGGAAAATATTTTAAGTTTTCATAGTGCTATGCTGCTATCTATATGTAAAATTTTTATTTTGTTGCAAATGAATAAATGAATTTTTTTTTTTTCTTTTTTTGTCAAAAACTTTAGGAAACATCGAGATAACAGTGGAAAATGCACAGGAGTTAATTGCGGCTGCGAACATGTTGATGATATCACGTGCTGTACTTGTTTGTATAGACTTTCTCAAGAGTGAACTTCATCCATCTAATGCTTTGGGAATTTACCGGTACGTGCAGTATAATAATAATAGTTAATTATTTTCCAACTGTTTATATAATATGTATTTTTATCTGTCCTATACGTAATTTTTTTTTTTTTTTTTTAAAAACAGGTTTGCTGAGGCCCATAATTTAGTAAGGTTGCTGCATTCTTCCCGGGACTTCATCTTCTCCAATTTCGTAGAAGTGACAATGGAGCAAGAATTTCTTGAGATTCCGAAAGAAATTCTGCTGTATTTTTTGGATTCAGAGTATCTTCATATTGACTCTGAGTTTCAGGTAAAATGTAAATATTTTTTTTTTATTTAATATGTACAACTTTCAATTGACTTTTATTTACAAGATTATTAACCCGAATTTATCTTTCTATTATTTATTGCAGGTATTCTCTGCTGCTATCAGATGGATTACACAAGCACAAGATATAAATAATAGATATTGTTGTTGGAATTTTGACATTTTAAAACGACTGAAATTGCCTTTAATTTCAAGTAAACTAATAAAAAAAGCAATTAATGAGTGCTCCGCTGATATTAAATTGAAGGTTAACCTTAAAAAGCAGACAAACTTGGCTAAAAAGGAAGCAGCCTTTTCTGTCCAGCCAAGAATTTGTACTCGAAAGAAAATTTATCTCATAGGTGGATTCATGAAAGAACTCTATATATCAGATGGGTTTACATTTAAAAGTGTCGAATGTTTTGATATCTTTAGGCAGAAATGGCAGAAAGTTTGCCCTATGAAAATTGTGAGAAGTTCACCAGGAATAGCAGTCTTACATGGGAAAATTTTCGTTGTTGGAGGGAGTGGAGAGGACAGTCAGATTTGGGCAGATGGCGAAGTTTATGATCCACAGGAAGATTATTGGACTGGAATATCTTCTATGGTGATCCCACGGTCTGATTTTGGATTATGCGCTCATGGAGGTTTTCTCTATGCCTTCGGTGGTTGGACGGGATTGGTCATCGAAAAAAGTATTGAAAGATATGACCCTATTACAGATGAGTGGACATTATTAGAGTCAAATATGCCAGAAGGTAGATCCAAGTAAGTACAATAACAATTTTCAAATTGGATTTACTGACTAATAGTGTGAACACTGATAATAATGAGAAAATATAACAGTGCCTATACTTTTTTTTTTTTTTTTTACAGAATGGGTATAGTAGAACATCAAGGTCTTATTTACATTGTTAGTGGACGTATGGACTCTTATAACCCCTTTCATGAACTTCTCTCATACAATCCTGTAACTGGGGAGTGGAGAGATCTAGCAGCACTGAGTGCTCCACCTCGCTACAACTACATGGGTGTTGCAGTTTTGAATAACTTTTTGTATTTAGTGGGTGGTCTTTTTAATGAAGAAGGGGAAAAATCACTAGAAAGATATTCTTTTGAACAGGTAATGTGCATGCTTATAATTATATACAATACAATTTAAATTATAGTAGTGAAAAGGGAGTAAAAATTGTATAACTCCCTTCTTTTCTCTTTCCGAAGACAATAATCATAATTTAAGTAATATGGGAGAAGAATTTTTGTAATACTGTAGTGTTGTATAACCTCCCTTCTTTTCCTTTCCACAGAACGAATGGTTTAAGTGTTCATCAATGAATTTTTGGCGAAGTATCCCAGCAGTTGTTGCCACAAATTCTCTGTTATATATCATAGGTGGTCATCGTCCCAATGACCACCTTGAACTGGTAAAAAAGGAAGAATGGAAATGGAAGAATGAAATGAATAAATTATATTACAAATTTAACCACCTAACCACCTGTTTTTTTTTCTAAAGGTATCTGTCGCTAATGTGGAGTGTTTCGACCCTAAGACTAATAAGTGGATGAACTGTACATCACTCCCTGAGGGCCGGTCTTATGCTAGAGCAGTCTTACTTTAACTCCCTTCGACATCCCCAATCAAGAAAACTTCCCTCAAGACTGACATTTGTCTCCTCCACATTTAATCCATTTTAAATAAAAAAAAAGCTTGTTTCCTATCTTTTTTAACTTACCCTAACATGAAATTTGAAAGTATTCTTATAAAGTATCCTTGTGGATCAATGGTACCATTGTTTAATTTTCCCGAGGATAAAAAGTGGAGAAACTGTACACCACTCCCTGAGGAACGGTCTAATGATGCTTTAGTAGTCTCAATTTGACTCGAAACCTTGAGTCTATCCCTCCTCCTAATCACAGCCTATTAACATAAAATGTACCGGGAACTTTATATATTAATGCTAGAGCAGTCTCAATTTACTCTCTTCTCTCCCAAGCTGACAACTGGTTAGGTTAGTCTTACATTAGTATCTGAAGATGGCGGCTGCACGTGTGGAGGAGCTCTCTCATCACGAGGAGGAGGAGGAGGAGGAGGAGGAGGAGGAATGTAAATCTTATCCTAACTACCTACTAGACGATATACATTTCCTCTGGCAGTCAGAAAAGTTATGTGATGTAGAAATATTATTAGCTGATGGATCAGTTGTGAAGGTGAGTGAGTGAAACATTTATCTGTGAGTGAAGAAACATTTCTCTGCCTGCCCTCCATCACCCACCCATCATTTACACACCATATCGGGGGAGGGAAACTTAACTACACCGCCCACACTCACCCTCCATTCCTTATTACCGCCCAGGAGAAGTCAGTGGAACATGATTAACAAAGTCTATCCAGTGCAGTGGAAGAAATTTCCCTGCTCTCCCCTAACTTCCTTTCTCCCCAAACTCACCCAGATTTTTACGTCCCCTTAATGTATGTATAAAGGCAGTATGAACGAACTAACAAACTTGAAAAAATAAACGATGGGGATTACATTTTATTCCACAGGCTCACCGTGTAATACTGTCAGCGGGAAGCGACTATTTTAAGACCATGTTTACGTGTGGATTTGCTGAGAAAACAACACAATCAATAGAAATGAAGTCTATGAAACCCAATATATTAAAACCGCTCATCGACTTCATATATACTGGTAAGGGAAAATATTTTAAGTTTTCATAGTGCTATGCTGCTATCTATATGTAAAATTTTTATTTTGTTGCAAATGAATAAATGAAATTTTTTTTCTTTTTTTGTAAAAATACTTTAGGAAACATCGAGATAACAGTGGGAAACGCACAGGAGTTAATTGTGGCTGCGAACATGCTGTTCATGCCCCGTGCTGTATTTGTTTGTACAGACTTTCTCAAGAGCGAACTTGATCCATCCAATGTTTTGGGAATTTACAGGTAACGAATTTTTATTTTGTTTCTGTTCTGTTTTAATTTGATTGATTCTGATTCGATCTAATCCTATTCTAGAGAGGATATTTTTTTATTTTTTTTATTTTTTTTTTTTTTACAGGTTTGCTCAGGCCCATTATTTAGTAAGCTTGTTGAATGGTTCGCGGGATTTCATCTTCTCCAATTTCGTAGAAGTGACAATGGAGCAAGAGTTTCTTGAGATTCCTAAAGAAACTCTACTATATTTTTTGGATTCTGAGTATCTTCATATTGACTCTGAGTTTCAGGTAAATATTATATATTTTTCTTTTTATTTAATATTTATTTATTGAAAATTTTATTTCGTTTTTCTTTTTTTATTGCAGCTCTCACTTTCTTTTTCTTTTCTTTTGTTATATTGCAGGTATTCTCTGCTGCCATCAGATGGATTACACAAGAAATAACTGATAGACTTTGTTGGATTCTCGATATTTTAAAACGAGTGAAATTGTCTTTAATTTCAAGTAAATTAATAGAAAAATCAATTAATGAGTGCTCTGACATCAGATTGAAAGTTAACCTTAAACAGCAGATAAACTTGGCTAAAGAGGAAGCCTCCTTTTATGTCAAGCCAAGAATTTGTAATCGAAAGAAAATTTATGTCATAGGTGGATCAAGGAAAGAATTCAATATAATATTGAATAGATCAGAGGAATATCTACTTAAAAGTATCGAATGTTTTGATACCTTTAGGCAGAAATGGCAAAAAGTTTGTCCTATGAAAATTGGGAGAATTTCACCAGGAATAGAAGTCTTACATGGAAAAATTTTCGTGGTTGGAGGGGTTGGAGAGATAGAAGCTCAGATTTTGGCGGATGGCGAAGTTTATGATCCACAGGAAGATTATTGGACTGGAATATCTTCTATGGTAATCCCACGGTGTGATTTTGGATTATGCGCTTATGGTGGTTATCTCTATGCCTTCGGTGGTTGGACGGATTCAATGGAAATAGGAAAAAATATTGAAAGATATGACCCTATTACAGATGAGTGGAGATTATTAGAGTCAAATATGCCAGAAGCTAGATCCAAGTAAGTACAATAACCAGTACAATAACAATTTTGATTTACTGATAGTGTGAATTACTAATAATAATAATGAGAAAATGTCGCAGTAACCTGTACTGTTTTTTTCCTTTTTTTTTCTTTTTATAGCATGGGTATAGTAGAACATCGAGGTCTTATTTACATTATTGGTGGATATACGGACACTTACAATCCCCTGCATGATTTTCTCTCATACAATCCTGTAACTGGAGAGTGGAAGAATCTAACATCAATGCAAGGTCCACCGTCTAAGACGATAGGCGTTGCAGTTTTAGATAATTTTTTGTACGTAGTAGGTGATGGTATTCTGGATGAAAATTCAATGAAAAGATATTCTTTTGAGCAGGTAAGATTATTTACCAGTACTTAAAGTTTAATATTGTAACCAGGAAGTGGAAGAATTGTTGTAATACTTTAGGAACAAAGGGAAAAAATTTTATACCCCCCTCCCGCCCCCTTACTCTTGTTTTAACCTTTTTCTTTTACTTTCCCACAGAACCAATGGTTTAAGTGTTCGTCTTCAGAGTATTTGGGTCGAAGTAGCCCAGCAGTTGTTGTCACAAATTCTCTGTTATATGTCATAGGCGGTTACTGGAGTGGTTTGAATGGAATTGGAATGGTAAGGAAAGAAGAATAAAAGAATGATTAATATAAAATGATAAATATTGATAATAATATTTATAACTTTTTTTTTTCTTTTTAGATTTCTCTCGCTAATGTGGAGTATTTCGACCCTAAGAATAACAAGTGGATAAGCTGTACACCACTCCCTGAAAGTCGGACTAATGCTATAGCAGTCTTAATTTGACTACTCGAAACTTTGAAAACCTATATACTGATGTCCTCCTCCTCCTCCTTCATCCTCACTCATTCTTATTTTAGTAAATAAAAAGCAAATAAATAAATGTATAGTTTTTTACTACCCTATATGATATAAAATTGTATTATTCTTTGTAAACTCTACCCAACCTATCCCAACATACTGCCAACTACCTGCTAGGTCACATTGCAAATTAGCCAATCGAGAAAACAAAAATAATAGAGGGTTGTATTATTCTTTGTAAACTCTACCCAACCTATCCCAACATACTGCCAACTACCTGCTAGGTCACATTGCAAATTAGCCAATCGAGAAAACAAAAATAATAGAGAAAACAAAAATACTCAGTTTTTCACATATATTTGCGGTTTTGTATTCTTTGTAAACTCTCCCAACATACTGCCAACTACCTGCTAGGTCACATTGCAAATTAGCCAATCGAGAAAACAAAAATAATAGAGAAAACAAAAATATTCACTTTTTCACATATATAGGTTTTGCAGTATGTGATAAAAAAAAAAAACAATGAATAAAATAATTTTAATAGTGTTTATTGGGGTTCGGTTAAAATAATAACAATGTGATTAAATCTTTTCCATTCCATACATTAAAGGAAATTTGAACATTTCATCCGGAATACTTTATTTTTTCATAAAGATCTGCATTCCTCTATGACGCAACAATACCAAAGGGGGGAATGTGATATCGTGTGAAGATTCTTCTACTTCTAGGATAATGGTCTCTCCTGTAAGGGTAAGGGTTTTCACAAAGATGTTGTTTTCTTTTCCTTCTCTAATAAGTTGCAGTGTAGATTCCTTCTGGATATTGCAGTCGGAAAGAATGCGACAATCCTCCAACTGCTTACCAGCAAAGATCAATTTCTGCTGGTTTGGGGGGGTGCCTTCCCTATCCTGAATTTTGGCCTTTACATTTTCAATGGTGTCTGAAGGTTCTACTTCTAGGGTAATCTTTCCTGTAAATTTCACAAAGATCTGCATTCCTCCTCTAAGACGCAATACAAAATGGAGTGTAGATTCCTTCTGGATATTGTAGTCAGAAAGAATGCGACAATCCTCCAACTGCTTACCAGCAAAGATCAATCTCTGCTGGTCTGGGGGGATGCCTTCCTTATCCTGAATTTTTGCCTTTACATTTTCAATGGTGTCTGAAGGTTCTACTTCAAGAGTAATAGTCTTTCCAGTGAGGGTTTTCACGAAGATCTGCATGATGTACTGCAAAGAAAACAATTCATTAGTAAAATTTTAGCCACAGTATAATTCTTAAATAATCTTAAATTTAAATATCTACAAGATTGTTGAGCATGTTATAGTAGGTAGCAAGGCAACCATTATATATGAAAACACAAGACTACTACATTAATATTTTATACACATATTGTACAGTACACATAAATCTTGGCTTTAACCAAAGTAACTACATACCCCCCCACACACACATACAGTATAGAGCAATAACACATGTACTCCACAGATGTTCATTTGCAGTCTATCTTCTGTGTAACCTAGCTATGCATATACAAATATAGAATAATAAAATTAAATACCTAGCATTTATGGGCTTTAGGCAGAAATGGCAGAAAGTTAGCCCAATGAAAATTGAGAGATGTGTAGGGCCAGAAGTAGCAGTCTTACATATAGAAATTGAACCGGCAGACGATGAACTTTATAATCCTGATCCGCTTTTGGAAGATAATTTGATCGGGGTATCTTCTATGGTGCTCCCACGGTGATTTTGGATTATGCGCTCATGGAGGTTATCTCTATGCCTTTGGTGGTTTGACTGTCTTAGGAGTGTGGCTGTAGTTTAGTTTTGTTACTGTTGGAAGAAGCAACGGAAGCACCACCACCACCACCACCACCACCACCACTGCGGGTATTACCAGATATCACCACACCACTAAAAATAAAACTGACAACTAGTTAGTATTACATTAGTATCTGAAGATGGCGGCTGCACGTGTGGAGCTCTCTTATAACGAGGAGGAGAAGGAGGAGGAAGAGGAATGTAAATCTTATCCGAACTACCTACTAGACTACATACATTTCCTCTGGCAGTCACAAGAGTTATGTGATGTAGAAATATTATTAGCTGATGGATCAGTTGTGAAGGTGAGTGAGTGAAACATTTACCTGTATTTATCTCCTACACTTTCTTCTCTGCCTGCCCTCCATCACCCACCTTTTATACCCATATCGAAGTACACCGTCCACACTCTACCCGCCGCCGCCCTAACTGCCCAGGAGTCTAGGACCAAGGAATAGTGGAAGAAATCTCCTAACTTCTCTGAATGCTTCCTAGAAGTGGTTTAATTTTTGGTTTGCTTCCTAGCAGTGGTTTGATTTTGGCTTGCTTCCTAGCAGTGGTTTTATTTTGGCTTCCTATTGTTCGACCAGTCTACATCTATAGGTACCTCACCGCACTGTTATTATGGCCTCTCTCATTTTACATCCTCCACTTGCCCCATGACCTCCTCCTATAGGTCCCAGGCCGTTACCAACACTTTTTCCTTCCCAGACAAAATATCCCTCCTCCCAGTCCTCCTCCCAGTCATAGGCCTGGTATTTGACGACATATTAATGTCACGTCAATCTTTATCATAACCAGGAACTCCCTCCCCCCCCCACCACCTACAAATTCAATCCATCTCTCATTTTTATTTAAACTTGACAAAACCTATGTTATGACGACGACCCTTCACCTAGACTTTTACGCCCCCTTAACGTACCCACCCCAATCAATAAACTAGCCCCCCTCGGGGACAAATATAAAAAAAAAAAAAACTGATGGAGATTACATTTTATTCCACAGGCTCACCGTGTAATACTCTCGGCGGGAAGCAAATATTTTAAGACCATGTTTACTGGTGGATTAGCTGAAAAAACAACACAGTCAATAGAAATGAAGTTTATGAAACCAATATATTAAAACTGCTCATCGAGTTCATATATACTGGTAAGGGAAAACATTTTAAGTTTTCATAGTGCTATGCTATATGTAAAACAAAAAGAAATAATTATAAATAGAAAATTTATTTTTGTTTTTTAAATACTTTAGGAAACATCAAGATAATAGTGGAAAACGCACAGGAGTTAATTGCGGCTGCAAACATGCTGATAATGTCCCGTGCTGTACTTGTTTGTACAGATTTTCTCAAGAGGGAACTTCATCCATCTAATGCTTTAGGAATTTACCGGTACGTACAGTATAATAATTAATTATTTTCAAACTATTTATATAATATGTATTTTTATCTGCACCTATACATAACTAATTCCATATTTATTTTATTTTAAAAAACAGGTTTGCTGAGGCCCATAATTTAGTAAGGTTGCTGCATTCTTCGCGGGATTTCATCTTCTCCAATTTCGTAGAAGTGACAATGGAGCAAGAATTTCTTGAGATTCCGAAAGAAATTCAACTGTATTTTTTGGATTCAGAGTATCTTCATATTGACTCTGAGTTTCAGGTAAAATATAAATAATTTTTTTTATTTAATATGTACAACTTTCAATTGACTTTTACAAAAATTTGAACTCGAATTTATCTTTCTCTATTATTTATTGCAGGTATTCTCTGCTGCCATCAGATGGATTACACAAGCACAAGATATAAATAATAGATATTGTTGTTGGAATTTTGACATTTTAAAACGACTGAAATTGTCTTTAATTCCAAGTAAACTAATAGAAAAATCAATTAGTGAGTGCTCCGCTGATATCAGATTGAAGGTTAACCTTAAACAGCACACAAACTTGGCCAAAAGGGAAGCCTCGTATGTCCAGCCAAGAATTTCTACACGAAAGAAAATTTATGTCTTAGGTGGACAAAAGAGAGAAATCTGTGTCCCCTTTCGAAGAACAGATCTGTTTACATATAAAAGTGTCGAATGTTTTGATATCTTTAAGCATAAATGGCATAAAGTTTGCCCCATGAAAATTGAGAGATGTGGGCCAGGAATAGCAGTCTTACATGGGAAAATTTTCGTTGTTGGAGGGGAGATAGAAATAAAAAAACGGGGACATGATAATCAGATTTTGGCAAATGGTGATGTTTATAATCCTCAGAAAGATAATTGGACCGGGATATCTTCTATGGTGCTCCCACGGTGTGATTTTGGATTATGCGCTCATGGAGGTTATCTCTATGCCTTTGGTGGTTTGACTATCTTTAATCGTTGGACGGGATCGACCTGGAGTGATGCGGTCATATCCCAAACGATTGAAAGATATAACCCTATTGCAGATGAGTGGAGATTATTAGAGTCAAATATGCCAGAAGCTAGATCCAAGTAAGTACAATAACCATTTTCAAATTGGATTTACTGACTGATAGTGTGAACTACTGATAATAATGATAAAATGTAGCAGCGGCCTGTCTTTTTTTTTTTTTTTTTTTACAGCATGGGTACAGTAGAATATCAAGGTCTTATCTACATTGTTGGTGGATATACGTACACTCGCAAGCCCATGGGTGATCTTCTCTCATACAATCCTGTGACAGGGGAGTGGAAGAATCTACCACCAATGATAGGTCGACCAAACCCCCCCAGGCGCAACGACATTATGAGTGTTGCAGTTTTGGATAACTTTTTGTATGTAGTAGGTGGTGTTCAGGAGGAAAAATCAATGGAAAGATATTCTTTTGAACAGGTAAGATTATTTACCAGTGCTGTACTTATGAATTCTTACTATTATATACAACAAGATTTGAATTACAATGATGTAGCTAGGATGTGGAAGAATTTTTGTAATACTGTAGTGAAAAGGGAGTAAAAAATTGTATAACCTCCCTCCTCC